ATTAATTTTTGATGCATAATTACAACAGACTGTATCAGTAGGTCGGTATTTAGTAGGTCAGTCTATCAAAAGTCCAACTTTAACAAAGTCCAACTGCTTTTAAGCACAGCCTGCCTCTAAAAGCATTTCTTTTCTGAGAATTTTCTCAAAATGGTCGACTGACGCTCGACGGACGGACTTGCCAGACTAGGAGCGTGCGTAAGTGCGGTTTTTTCTATTTCAAGAAATTACATGGGTCCCAATGGCGGAAACGAAGTTCAAATCGACTTTTTGATGCTCAAAAGTCGCAACTTGGAAGCGACTTTTTCACAGAATATGCATCAAGACTAATTCTTCTTGAAATCGTTAATATCTCAAATTTTCCTAAAAATGCACTTATGCGACTTGTCCTCTAAGCCCCTCACTTAAAATGATCTGGAACACACTGTAAAGGAGAAAATAAGCAATCCTCTCTTCAATTCAGATAAAATAAATTTTCAAATTTCGATCGCTTTGTGATTGGCTTGAGGGAAATTGCTGGCGCGATCAAACGTAACACAGAATTTGTGACCCCGATATGACATTGTAACAGCGTGATTTTGCAGAGTAATAATGTCTCAGATTCCTTGCGTAATGACGTTTTGTTGCTTGGTCGTAAATAATATTAGAAACACCGTCGAAAAGGAGGGAACGACTGCTTATAAAGATCAAAGCTATTACGTTGGATTCCTCAGATTGTCCTCATAACTCGTTTTACGTCGTAACTCTTTTTTTCCTTCATCTAATGCCACATCTGCATCTTGCGTTTCGGTTTTTTCCTCGTCGAGTTCTGTGCACTTACGGATGCAACATCTTCCCATGGTTTTTGTAGCCTCCGGTTTCGGTTAATCCTCGGACTCGAACGAAATTGATCGGAATTTTTCGCATTCTGTGGATTCTATTCCCCCGAAAAGCTTGGTCCAACGCCGTTTTTTCTAGCGCCAACACTTGATGACATCAAACAAGTTTGTTTCTCATAGGAAGAAAAAAAAAGATTCCTCACAAGCAACAGATCGCCCAATCAACATCAAGTCTGCGCATTTTTGTTTTGTTTTTCTCCCAATTCCCCAATTGCATTAATTTAAAGAAGCCTTCCTAGGTTTTGCTCGTTTTGAAATATTGAATCAAACACACAGACTAAAAATACACTTGGACGGCTCAAGAATTTTCATTTAATTTTTCGTTTCATTTGATACGTGCATAGTGTGCACTGGAAAAAAACCACATAGGATCTAGAGTCCAGACTCTTAAAAACGTCGACAAGATAAAATACTCTTAATTCAATCAGAATCTAGCTTAAATCAAGAACGAAGCCTCTTACTTTGAGCGGATTTCCTTTTGATTTAAGGAAAAATCTGATTGAATCAAGAGTCCTTTTTCCTGTCAATGATTTTAAGGGTCTGGACTCTAGATCCAATGTGTTTTTTTTCCCAGTGCGTGTTGTCCAGTTTGAGAAGCAACCATTCAACCATTAAGTCTAACGTATTAAACGTTGAAATGATTTACCAGATCCCAAAAGACAACTTGTGTCTTAAGCGTAGCAATATTCTTGAAACCGATTGACTCATAACGGACATGAACACCCTCGAAGAAAGAGGAATAAAGTCGCAGAACCAACAGTGGCGAAGCGTGTATGATCTATAATCGATGTCTCCCCATTTGCAGCCATGGTATAGAATCGATTTTTTGGTGCTTTTTGCGAGCACCCTGGCTATCGATTTTTTCCACCGATTTAAATGGCAGATCAATTGAGGTATCGCAAAACACGCAACGCAACTGGTAACCAACACACTTTGTACCTCCGGAGACTTTAACGCTAATGTAGGAAAGAAGATGTCATCAAGAAAGGCCTTCGTTACCTCAGTTTTAATTCTCAATTGTTAAGACTTTCGATCGTTAAACTTTAGAGGTAATGAGGAATGGAAATATATATCACTGAGGGGTGCGTCCCCCAATCGCTACGCAGGCCAGCCCGTCAGGATAGCTTCTAGGGTCAGTTTTCAACAAAATTAAGAGAACGGGCTCATTTAGAGCTTTTGATGACAGCAAAAATAATGGAATTTAGCCCAGCAGATCTCAGAACATTGTATCGCTAAGTATACTGATTTTTAGTAATTAATTATTTAGCGGGCCGCAAATTGTGGCCACTTAACTCAAATAATTTTCGGGGTCCTGAAAATCTAAAATCAACTACTTTTGCCGTCCGTTAACTTTTCAGCGTTGGTTTGTTTTTATTTAACCGGACTTTTGCCTATAGATAAAATGTTAGTTTATTTTTGCGATCTCAGTGTTCCATGGAAAACCCGATCTTTTGGCTGTGTCCGGGAAACCAGCTGTGACCAGTGACATGGCGTGGCGTGCTTTGCGATATCTCGATTGATCTGTCATTCAAACCTATGAAAAAGGATCGATGAACAGGGTGTTATCTATCGCCTTAATAATCGATTCTTAAACGTACCTTCAAATGGAGAAATATCGATAATCGATCATTCACGCCTCGCCACGGGCTTTGACCACCAATAATCGTTGAGACCGCACCGAAGTGTAGTCTATTGCAAGTGCACATTTGTTATCGCAGTGGTAAAATAATGTTTTTACTTTACACGACAACAGTGCAAAGGAGCATGGATTTTCTCGGAATTTCTATCCAGATTATTATCCGAGACAGTTAAAAAATGCTCTCACCGCAGTAACACTATCATTTGCAGACATTAAGCTTCATCAAGAACCCGGCAGGGCGGTAATGTATATAAAGAAAGTGAAATGTGTAACAGATGCGCGCGAATCCTAGAATTTTATGCTCGAGTGAGAAAACGACGGAATTGCGTAAGATCCTCGTAAAGAATTTTTATCCTTTGAGTTGTCTCGTGCAATGTCCGTGCATAAGAATTTGATGTAACAATTAGTTACCTCTGAACACGAGAACTAGATCCAAACAGGATCTTCATTTTATGTCCCCAAAATCTGAGTACTTCGACCAGTGGGCTGGTTATTGAAATTGATAGACAAAGCTATTGACGAAGACGACACATCGAAAATAAAGCGATCCTGTTGGTGGAAGTTGATGACTGCAATAGACAAAGTATGTGAGAAATAGACGGACCAAGAGCAACCCCTGAGAGACCCTATATAGTCAGTCCGTAATATCTTCCCTTAGTCTATGATAACTACCCGTTTCAACCAGTTGGACCGTTCCATGTTTCGTATATCTTCTTTGTCTATCGCTTTGTCTATCAATTTCAATTATCAGCCCGCAGGACCGAAACGATGTTTAAGGGGCTTGAAGAACAACGCGCAGAAGTGCAGTTCTTGACAAAATTGAGATATTCATGGTTTCAACTAAAACTAGTCTCACACTATATTTTGCGAAAAATTCATGACTAATTTGACAATTTTTAAACATAAAAAAGAGAATTTGAACTTCCTTTCCGCCATAACATTCAATGTAATTGTGGAACCCTACACATGCATTTCTCGAAATTCCAACAACTGTACTTATCCCACTTTTTCTCTAGGCCCCTCAACCATATATTTCCACTGTCCAGTGTCAAAAGTTTACCTATGCTACCGTCCGTAGTATACTTCCGTGGCTCTAGGTGTTGTTTTTGATCCCTGGTAGAGGGAATGCACCAACAATAGAATTTGGCGAGACAAGATGTCTCGATTCATTGTTGGGAGTGTAAAACTTAACAACATAATTTCAGGTCTCAAGTAACTGTATTTTTCATAGGCGTGTCTCTTTTTCATTCATTTAAATGATGATTTACTCCATGAGTTGCGTTTTGTGTGACTTTACAACACTCGAAGAAAAAATTAAGTATCATAATAAATGTCGTCTGAGTCAGCAATTATGGATGACGCGATAAAGTTCACGATCTAGTTATTAGGTTCATACAATTGAGCAATTGGAATATGGGATTCCAGCTTAATGATTTATCTATCCTAATCCGTTGCGAATATTTTCGAAATTGTCCATCGAGTTCGCTATTTCTAAAATCCTGTCTAGTTATAATGGTTATTTTTACTCCTTTATTGAATGAAAAGAACACCCAACATCGAAATAATTAGGTAGCTCATTCATCAATACACGGAGCATACCTTCTCCTCATAGATAGTTTTTGATACATCAAAAAAGTGAGATTGTATCGATATCGATTGGTTCAACATGTAAAAATAGCCTCAAAAGTCAATTAAGTAACCTGAGGAAACGGGGTTTTTCTGATAGATTTTTGATTCTTATGAGTACTAAATGGCATCGCAAGTTGAAATAGTAAGGAATTTTCTCATTTTCAGCTTTTCCGACTGAACTCCTGAAAGTTTTGTTTGAGAGGTTATGTTCTATTACTTTGGACCAAAAGATACATCGAACCACTATCGAAAACGATCTATCAAGCTTGCCAAAAGGTCTAAATCCCTGAAATCCGACAACTTCAGCAGTGAACCAAGTATTTATCTCTCTTCGGCAGCAACGCGTAGGACGAAATTTTGAATCCGTCTATCTGATTAAGGCTACTCCCAATTGATCTTCTCATCAAAATATTTTGTCGAATTGGCGTAGGTTCAACTAATTCTTCAAAGCCTACGCACACATGTCCAAATTCATCTCTTTTAATTTTGCATCGAATGTCAGCCTGTCACCTTTTCTGAAAAACTTTCGACCGTCTCAGCTTGAGTAAGTAGTGAAAGATGGACATTGATACATAGATTATAATGGTTTGTTCCGATGTGCTTGCCCTCAATCAGTGGCGATTTTACAAGTTGGGAACATTGTTTTTCCTCCGTTTAAATCCATTAATTATATCGAAATAATCGATTGTTTTTCATACGTTTAAACGTAGGAAAAACAGTGTTGCCAAGTTTCAAAAATCCTTTTGTATTCTATGGAACAACTTGAGAAGAAAGTTTTCTCTCATCCGAAATTTATTACAATCGGTTTGAAATTGTGGAAGAGCTTAATGCGAAAACTAATTCTAATATTCTAATAATGACGTTAAACGAGTTTTATTACATTCGAAAAAAAATGAAGGAGAGTAAACGGGTTCCACAATGATAATAAGTCATGAGATACCAGTAATCATCCTATTAATGGGACGAGCCTCTAATTGCGCAGATGTTAACCACGTTGCCAAATGTTTTGTTACATTACAAAGTGTGTATTCTTCTTCTACTATTATCTCATTCCTCACATTTTTGAATAAACAAATGCAATGAAAATCCTTAACCAGCTGATCACATGTCTTTACTTTATAAGCAGCTAAACTAAACGTTCATGGTTGTCACTCAATATTAAAACTGATCTTTTTTTGGAGCATTTCAAAGAATGAACGAGAAACGTAATGAAATTAACTCTGTGACAGTTTTTTTTTTCCTATAAAATTTCCTTGAAGCCACAGAAAGCAATTCAACTTCCACCCTCATTCATAACTGTACAATTTATCAAAATTCAGAGGTGCTTACAAAGATATTTGAAAATTAATCTGTTAGTAGGAAATTCATCTTAGCACATAATCTTCTCCATGTTTAAGAATCAAATATGTTTACTCTACAATTTTTTATGGAAGAAAATATTTATCGTAATCTTTTCTCCTAAGAGAAATTGATGGCGATTTGTAAGATCAATGAAATCTGAGCAGAAACTTTCAAAGATAAAGTAATAATCACCTTTTTTCGTAGCATCGTTATTTTTTGCGTAAGATAGTCCTATCAAATTCGAAGCAGCTGGTTTATCATGAAACACATTGCTGCTAGTAATTTTTGGAAAGGATGTCCTGTCCGAAGCCGAGAGGCACTCTGAAACTTTAGGTTGTGCCTTGTCACGCTAAGAACTTCGGGACTTCAAGAAGTCGTGTGGGAAATTCATATGCTTCCTCCGTTATCACTTATTTAACAATTTTTTTCTTTCTTAAAGGCCTTTTTAACTGTTTTTATTTTTTTCCTCCTCGCAACTGGCGGTTGTACCTTTCATGTTGTTTTTGTTGATTATGAAGTAAACATTTTCAAATTTTAGGCATTTTTATGGCTGGAATCAAAATTAAAAATAAGTTTTATGTTAATTTCCGTTTGATCGCACATCGGTCGCGGCTCTAGATTCGCGATCTCTATCCCTGTTGTCCTCTGGATGCATCTAATGACTTCACCTTGGGAACGGTTACTGATCCTATGAGGACTGAGGAGTTCGTATCTAATATTCTATTGACGAATTGGCGATTTATGAATTTTCGAGTTACCCGATAGTGGCTTTTTTCTCTCTTTCTTGTGAATGACCGATGTCCGAGTTTCTGATAACACAACAGCAAGTGTTAGGTTTTCTGTTGAACCTGTGCCTGGTTCGGTTTTCGTTTTCTTGTCACCTGGCAGCCAGAGTTTGGTTCTCCGATGACCGAGTGACTGGTTGCTCTGGCGAAAGGGTGACCGCTTGTTCATTTTCTGATAATCGAGCAACCGGTGTTTGCTTCTCTGATGACCGAGTGACTGGTTGCTCATTTGAAGGTGACCAGGTGGCCGTTGGCTGACTTTTGGATGCTGATCGTTCATTTTCTAGTAATTCGGTGGCTGAATCTCCATTTTCTTTCATCTGAGCGGCCGGTGTTTGGTTTCCTGATGGTGACCGAGCGGCTGGTTTGACATTTGATGGTGGCTGGGTGGCTGCCTCCTCTATTTCCGCCATTCGAGCAGCTGGTGTTCGGTTTTCTGACAATCGAGTGCCTACATGCTCGTTTACTGAAGACTTCGTGGCCGGTGTTTGGTTTGCAGCTGACCGAGCGGCTAGTTGGTTTTTCAATCGTACCTCCGCGGCCTCTTCCTCAATTTCTGGCAACCGAGCAGCCGTCGTTAGGTTTTCTGATGACCGAAATGCTGGTTGCTCGTTCTCCGATGACTTGGCGGCTGTTATCTGGCCCTCTGATGATTGAAAAGCTGATCTTTCATGCCCCGGTATTACGGTGGCCAAGTGCTCATTCTCTTGTAACCGAGCAGCCGGTGTTTGGTTTTCTGACGACTGCGAGGTTTGCTTTTCACCTTCTGATGCTCGGGCAACTGATTGATCATTCCTTCGCGATTCCGTGGTTGCGTTCTCGTTCTTAAGCGACCGGGAAACCTGCGTCTCGTTTCCTGCCGACCGGGCTGATTGCTCGTGTTCGGGTGATTTGGTAGCTGATAGCTCGTTCTTTGGTAATCGGGAGGTCGGTTTCTGGTTCGCTGATGCCTGAGTGGCTAGTTCTTCGTGTTCTTGTGACCGTTTACTCGGTGAAGCCTGAAAAGGCCGCTCTCTATTCTCATCGGAAGACTTTCCTCCGTGCCTTTGTGCGTCAGTGGATGGTTCGGAGGGTCCAGCGGTAGCGTCTTTTGAGGATCCTCCAGGACCATTCCGTGCCGGATCATCGGGGGGTTGAGAGGAACTAGATGAAAGACTGACATCTTGGGAGATGGTGTCCTGGCGTGGCGCAAACCTCTTAGTCGTGGATTTAATCTGATTGGGCGATGGGAATTGTGGAGGTGACTGAGGCGGTTTCGGCGGGAGCTGTGGAGGCGATTGAGGCGGTTTCTGCGAAATCTGTGGAGGTGATTGAGGCGGTTTCTGTGAAACCTGTGGAGGTGATTGAGGCGGTTTCTGTGAAACCTGTGGAGGCGGTTTCTGCAAAATCTGCGGAGGTGACTGAGGCGGATTCTGCAAAATCTGCGGAGGTGACTGAGGCGGTTTCTGCGAAACCCGTGGAGGTGACTGAGGCGGATTCTGCAAAATCTGTGGAGGTGATTGAGGCGGTTTCTGCGAAATCTGTGGAGGTGACTGAGGCGGTTTCTGCGAAACCTGTGGAGGTGACTGAGGCGGTTTCTGCGGGAGCTCTGGAGGTGACTGAGGAGGTTTCGGCTGGTACTGAGGCTGGAAGAACTTGGTGTCGATCGTGGGGAGGGCGCCGTACATGAGTAGCTCGAGAAGGAGAAGTGGCGAGCGGCGCCTCATCTTGACGATGCCACGATCGCCCCAGTGTTCGTTCCACGAGTTGATGCACAACCAGTAAGGGATCCCTTTCTCGGTGCCCCAGCCGATGATCTTCACCGTGTGACCCCGCGCGGTGCCCTGCGGCGAGAGGAAGAGCGAGGCCATCGGCTCGTATACCCCTGCAACGGAAAGCAATCGGGGGCTTTAAAATTAAGCTCTTCATCTACGATATAGTTCGGAGTATATTGAAAGAGAAGCATGGCACATTTCGTCGCTCCCCTGACGTAAGGGCGTATCTTAATTTTTGCGTGAGCCGCTGATAGCATATAGTTGCACAGAGAACAAGGTTCACGCAAAAATCGAGTTACGCTTTTACGTCAGAGAAGCGACGATTTCGTCGTAACCCGCACGAAGAAACGTAATTTCATTCCAAGGTTTGAAAATTGACTCAAACAATTCAATTTCTTACAGGTATGTATCTGAGCAATTTTTCTCAAAATGTTTCTGATTCTTGCATGAGAACAGGAGAAATATCGGGAATATTTGTAGGTAGAAATGTCCAAGGTTCTCCGGTGAAAATGCAATTTACGAGGGCAAATTTGGCAACATTGAAATGCAGATACGTTCTTTAGTGAGGGGAACGACGATTTTAGAGGTGCAGAAAGTGCTCAATCGACCGATCGCGGAGCGAATGTGAAGGCACCTGGTAGAAGGGGGGAAAATGTGATGGCAGAATGCATAAACCAGCTAAGCGCATAGATTTTTGAGTGAAAACTGTGTGGCGCTCTCTTATGCGAAGAAAGTAGTTAAGTGCGGTCGTGTATGCGAAGGAAATGGTGAAGCGCGCTCTGTATGGACTGGAAAAAAAAAACCGCGTTGGATCTAGAGTCCAGACTCTTAAAAACATCGACAAGAAAAAATACTCTTGATTCAATCAGATATAAGCATAAATCAAGAACCAAGCCTCTTAATTTGAGCGGATTTCCTTTTGATTTTAGCTTAAATCTGATTGAATCAAGAGTCCATTTTCTTGTCAATGTTTTCAAGAGTCTGGACTCTAGATCCAATGTGTTTTTTTTTTTTTTCCAGTGTGCGAAGGATGCAGTGAAGCGCGCAAGTTTCATGTGGACAGCATTGTGAGGGCGACCTCCAAAAATGCGAAGGCTGTCTCTAAAAATGTGAAGGCGAAGAACTTTCTGCACCCCTGAGAAATTTTACCAGAAGTCTATAAATTCTTGCATGAGTCCAGATGATTTTTAACACAACGATGTTGATGATGTAAGGCAGCGAGTACCATACCTTTGGCGATTGCTACTCAAGTTACGGTATTTGCTAGCATAGAGTCCTTCGGTGATGGTACCGTATTCGTATCACTGAATCTCATCCATACTTTATTTACGTGTACGGAAAAGTATGGACGAGATTAGAAGCCATGCAGAATATGCTTGGTCTTAAGTCGTAATGTAATTTAAAAGAAATCTTGACCTTTTTTTCCAATACTTGAAAAAAAAGAGGGCAAATCACGAAGAAAAAATAATAGAAACGCAAATGAAGCCGTAAGTATTATTAGTTCCCACCTGATTTGTACAGAAAAAAATCCTCGTGTACTTGAAACTGGGTTGATAAAGGTCCATACGTCATGATGTCTTTCTGGATCCATTTCTCATTCGTTCCCAGCTTATAAATGGTATTAACTATTCATAGACAGATAAGAATTGAATGAGAACAGAAATGTTAACGGAAATAAGCACGTTTGGAAATCATAGGCTATTTTAACTCAGTAGGTAGTAAAACCGCAAAAAGGTGCATTGTTGCATGAGCATGTGCTTCCCAATTTCCCAAGTTTGGTTCTACATTTAAGTTTTTCTGGAAGCCCAGTGATTCGTGTTTTAGGAAGTTAAAAAATGTCTCAAATTTTGAAAGCTATACTAGAACTAGGTACCTTTCATTTTGTTTCACTGTATCTTAAAGAAACCGAGGAAATTATCTTCTCAAAGCTTTATGTGAATATGTTTCAAAAGTGAAGGAGGCTCACTGAGAATTTTAAGCAAAATGTTGCTTATTTTTCTTTCTAAAAAGATGAAAAATAAGTGCACAAACATGATCGTAATTTGAGGAACGTGATTCTCAACTGAAACAATCGATATGTTTCATTACGTTAAGTCTTGTTGCTAACATGCAAAGTTACTATCTTAATTGGTATCAATTGTCGTCTTCGTTTTTGAAATCCTTGAATAAGGAGCTCAAAAGAAATGTGTTCTCTTCTTCTTTCTCCGAGTAGTGGCGTGGCGTGCTTTGCGATTTATCGATTGACATACTAATTCAACCTGTGGAAAAGGATCGATAAATAGGGTGTTCGCAACGAACTACTCAATAATCAATTCTTTACCATAGCTTCAAGTGAGGAAGTATCGAGAATCGATCATTCACGCTTCGTCACTGCACTAAAGTATTTGTCCAACAATTTTGAACAAAAAATATTCTCCTCTTCCTTTAAGTCGTCAGCGAGTTAAAGCATCAGACTCAAGCAATAATTTTTTACGTTTGTGACGTGCGTTTCCTCAACGCGACATGATCACGGTATTGTACGCCCTGATGATGCGCTTGGGCGCGAAATGATCATTCGCATTAAGGAGTAAATGTGAAACTTTTTCCACTTTTTCTGCATCACTGGCTATATTTATAAAATTTCTTCTTATTAACTTTAAGCGCGATTGGACGTCGTCACGGTTTAGCCGAATGTTAACTCCTCCTTTAATTAGCTCTTTGATCTTTTTGGCGAATTCTGGTCAATCAGATTTACCGCGTTTTCTTTAGCCCAACCGCACGGAATCTTCAAAAATAGTCTAAATAGTTTTATGACTGAAGATATCTTCCATCCCAGAAGGAAAAGCTTACATTTTCTGAGATCATCCTTAAATTCAACGCTGTATTTATCGTTGGTACATTTCGTTTTGCAGACTGGAATCTTCTGCTGCGTTCGGCTGCAAGGTGTGAAAGGGCCGATACCGTGGTGGGCACACTTGGGCATAAAATAAGGTTGACAGCCCTCCTCCGACCCAAAAGTCCCGCCGCTCACAAGCCCATGTTTACGCATAAACTGGTATGCTTCGGCTGGCATCCTATCAAAATGAGAAGAAAAACACGAATCAGGCAAATTAATTAGCAAATGATCAAGGATTTAATCCAAATCAAGGCTGAGCTTGACTCACACCTCGCACGAAGAAAAATGTAATTGTAATTACCAAAGTAGCAGTGGCGAGGCGTGAATGGTCGACTATCGATATTTTCCCATTAATTTGCGCTATGGTAAGAATCGTTTGTGAATTTGTTAGTCGCGGACACCCTATTCTTCGATCCTTTTCCGTAGGTTTAAAATACAGTTCAATCGATATATCTTAAAGCACGCCACGCCACTGCAAAGTCATGTTGTTCCATTAATGCTGTTCCTATAGCCGTATTCATTGATTATAAACTTTTAACCGATTTATGGTAAAATGATCTCCCTATGATAAAAATGAAATGTTTATAATTGATTGTGGCTAACATTTAGAGTTCACATGGAGAATGGAGGTACATTGCTACTTCGGTTTTCATAAGTAATGTTCACAGTTTCTTCTCAGTGCTTTTTTTTCTCGGTAAATTTTGGAAACAGGGAAAAGCAAAAATTTTCTGGGAAAAATGAGGGAAAGTTAAGGAATTTGAAGATAAAGAAAGTATGACAATCTTGATAAAATAGAGGAATTAATTGATTTCGAAACGTATTTTTCATTTCTTACCCGCCTTTGCAGCCACGCCTGTAGCGCATGATGGCACAGTCCAAGATTTCCTGAGTTGAGAGCCTAATATTATGGCGTCCCCCTGAGGCTATGCAGTACCGATCGGTGGCTACTTGTGCAGGTGCCATAGCCTGAAACGCCACATAAAATACTAACTTAAACTGATTTCAATTTGCATCTTCTTCTATATTATCAGCATCATCGATCATGTTTTAACTTTCTGTCCTGAAAGCGCCTACATATTCATTCTATTTAGGGTCTTAGGATCGTAGGCCCAGTAACTTTGAAGGGTCTACGTGAAATGTATAAGGTTTCCTCCCTACCCTCCTCCCTTCCTTTTTTGAGAAATAAAATCTGAAGAGTTCCCGAAGGCACAAATATTTCCCTGTTTTCGCTAAAGTAAGTCTTAAAAGTCCTAATTATAGAAAAAAAACGAGTACAAGGACGGTTCCATAGTATGATGAATAGGAATGACAGGAAGGTATAAGAGATTTATATTCATATCGCAAATTTCCGCAAAAGTGCAGTAAACATATATTCAAGGAAGAATATCTATGTCCAAAGTTTTGCGAGGTAAAATTTCTCATCGAACATTTACCACTCAACATATTTGTGCTTCAAGTCTTGTAGTATATTCGTATTCTTTTTACGCCTCAACTATTGAGTTTTCTCGATACTAGACAGAGGTAGACATTTCGAATTGACTATTTAGTGTGTGTACCACCTCCCAGCATGTCTCTGATACTGAGTGTATTTCTGAGCTTTCTGCACCTTAACTCGTGGATATGTTTGAAGGAAAAATTTAACGAACGTACCCAACAAGAGCCGCATTGACTTTGGTCCAAAATCTCGCCGATGACAGTGCAGTTTTTCCACTTCTCTCGTGCGTCGAAAAATTCTGGGACTCTCTCGTCAGGAGGCCAGTTGGGGTCGTTCATTTTCCGCAGGAACAGCACCGTGCTAATCGACCATTCCACCCCCAAGAGGTCCACCAGGTCATTCACTGTCGTATTTTCTCCAAAATTTCTCCCCGCCTGGAAATGATAGACATGTATCAAGGGCTGCGACTAAATCCAAAACAGCTTAATGAACTTTCCTTTTACTTCCATCGAAGGAAACCGTTTGAAATGAAATAAGCGACGCTAAGGAAGAACGCCGCATGAGACTTCAAATGTTGTCGAAGTCCCTTTGATTAAGAGAATTTCTTGAGAAACCTGACAATATTTTTCCTCAACTTTTTTAGGGAATTTCATTCTCAATCATATCTAAATTAGCTGATTATTTCGAAAGAAATTATTCTTAAGTTTCTGTATCATAATTTTCTCGGAGGAAATTTGGCAACTCTCGAATTTTTAGAATGTTCTCAAATGTTTCCTTAGCTCAGCAGTATTGAGTGCATACTTTTTATAGATAGATGCTTGTCAGAATCCTGACAGATTTTTGCTTAAAAAATTCTGATAATATAGAATGCGATTTAAAAAGTCATAAATTTTAATAAACAGATAAATGTTCTGAGCAACCTTAAAATGTATGAAAATTGTGCGAAATTATCTTGTTGTGTTGTACGATGTACTGTCATCATATACATATGTATACACATCTTTCGGCAGATGTTGTAAGTTGTGTTATTCAATATGCGGTATTCGTTTAGCGGTTGGGATGGATTTCTTCCATTTTTGACATCCTTGACTGAATTTCTCAAAGCGCGATATTTCGGTTAACATTGAACGTAGAGAGTTGTTATTCGGACAGGTCTTATTTTTCTTAGCTGATCCACAAGAATTAAGCATCAAAACAAAATTCTGCGACCACATTGAGAAAAAAAGTTCGATCATAAGAACCGAATGTACCGTGGTCAGTATCGGTCGTATTATTGGGTTCTTGCGACCGCGCTTTTTTCCGAGCTGCTCGGTTTCTAGGATACGGCTTCCACAACCGAAACAACGATTGCACGAACCGTACGATTTAGCCGATTTTGAAGACCGTACATTCGGTTCGTACTACCGAAGATTTTTTCGGAGCAAAGGGCAACTGGCAAAAACTGGGGAAAAAAAACACATTAGATCTAGAGTCCAGACTCTGAAAAACAGCAACAAGAAAAAGTACTATTGATTCAATCAGAATCTAGCTTAAATCAAGAACCAAGCCTCTTAATTCAAGCGGATTTCGTTTTGATTGAAGCAAAAATCCGATTGAATAAAGAGTATTTTTTCTTGTCAATGTTTTCAAGAGTCTGGACTCTAGATCCAATGTGTTTTTTTTCCAGTGCATGTATAATTCCGTTTGACAGAAATACCTTCATTTGTGCGGATTTCTTCGAAAATTTTAAGGAATTTGCTTCGTACTATGGAGAAAATTCACTGAAACTTGCCCGAAAATCCGCACTGCCGTTTTTATGGAAAAAATTAAATTATCCAACGAAGAATTGTGTGTTAACCGAAACCACTCACCTTCCACAAAGCTTGCTGACTGTTGACCCTGTCGATGATCTTGTTGAGTTGGAGGAAGTTCTCGGCCAGGTTGAGGGACGGCAGCGCCGAGGAAGACCCCTGCCGCGGGCGTTGAAGGGACACCGCGTTGAAGACACCAAACCACGTCACCAATACCACATGCACTCTCATTTTTCGCCGAAAATCCTCACTTCATTTTCGGGCGACGGCGCTGCGAGCACTGCGTCCCCCCGCCCCGCCCCGAATCGCGAGCCTGGATACTCGATAATCGGGGATCCGAGTCCGCTCGCCGGAACTTTTAGTGCACTTTAACGAGCGCGATCCGCGATAAGGCCGAGCTTTCGCCACCGGAGACGGACGCGATTTTGAGAGCGAGGAAATTGGTCCGCGAGGAAATCCGGCCGGTTGTCGCACGTCGCGTCTCCCCCTCGGATCGGGTTTCCCGCCGGAAAGCCCGTTTTGCCATATTTATCTCGCATCGTCGGTTTTAGGGCGAAGGAACGTAACTCGATTCCAAGATTGCAGAATTGACTCAAAAATGTTTATTTTTGTACGCTGGAAGAAAAAAACACATTGGTTCTAGAGTCCAGACTCTTGAAAACATTGACATGAAAAAATACTCTTGATCCAATCGGATCTTTGCTTGAATCAAAACGAAATCCGCTTAAATTAAGAGGCTTGGTTCTTGATTTAAGCTAGATTCTGACTGAATCAAGAGTACTTTTCCTTGTCGATGTTTTTAAGAGTCTGGACTCCTGATCCAATGTGGTTTTTTTCCAGTGTACAGGCATGTGCGCGTGCAATTTTTTTCCAATTTTTTCCTGCATTGAAAGAAAAAGTGACGAGCTATATAGACATACCGTTTGTTACGGGGTTGTTGGCCGAATGTTCAGGGTGCTGGCTGACGCCGTAGCTTCGATTGCTCCGGGTGCCGCGCCCGGAACTTTCAGCCTCTGAGCCTGAAACGCGGACGGTATGTCTATATAGCTCGTAAGCATGACCTCCACGCCCGGAGTTTTTTTTTTTTTTTTCAGTGATGATTCATGCTTATAGATCATATAAAAAATTAGCGTTTACAGTTGGAAGTGCCCAAAGTTTTTTAGGTAAAAAAACAATTTGCGAATGGAAAAGTAACATTGAAATGTTTGGCCGAGTAGCTGCTCATGGCGTTTCGTCGTCACTTGGACGAAAGTGATAAATTTTATCGCGGAAGCGTTAAGGCGACAAATTTTTCAGTCAGGGAAGACTTGGAAAGTCAGGAAATTCCGTCAAACCCTGAGAAATCAGAGAAAAGTCAGTGAATGTCGGTGCAGAAGGCTGCTAGAGGCCGAAATCTCTGATGATTCTCATCACCAAGTGACTTCCATCTTAAGACATTGCACGAAGGGTTTTCATCAGAATTCATCCGAGAAAAACATTAAGAACTCGTGGAAGTGCCCATTCAAAAACTCCGGAAAGGTAGCGGGAAGGCATGGAATGTTTTAATCTAAGAAACCGAGTCATCCTTTAGTTGTATTTCATTATTGCAAAACGTCCGTTCTTAATTTTCCTTTTCACCCGGAAGCCAGCGGCCATTTCTTACAAAAAAAAAAATCTGCAGATTTTCCCAGTAATTAAAAATTTCCCGTTTAAAAAAGAGATATTTTTTTGGAAAAGTCGCCGTTGTCAAAATGAGACAAATAGCGAGGTGATTGGCAGCATGGTATTATCTCGGTCGAGGAAAACGAGTCGGGAATCGGGAACTCACAAGATGACCGCGATGGCGAGTAGGTGAAGCGTTGAAGCGTGGGTGTGATGTGCAACTCGACTTTCGGCTCATGTGTATCTGCACATGATCATTGACCCTGATCTACGTAGTCCTAATTAGCCCTGATCTGAGGAGACCTTAGTGTCCATTCACTCGATCGCCGGATCATTCTCTCTTGAATTATACAGCGCATGCAATAGTCTAGATCTTCCGTCTTCACGGTTTTCCGAAGAGAATACAGGGTGATCCAGGGTTAAACATCGGAGAAAAAAACACATTGGATCTAGAGTTCAGACTCTTGAAAACATTGACAAGAAAAGGGCTTCTTGATTCAATCGGATTTAAGCTTAAATCAAAAGGAAATCCGCTCAAAGTAAGAGGCTTGGTTCTTGATTTAAGCTAGATTCTGATTGAGTCAAGAGTACTTTTTCTTGTCGATGTTTTTAAGAGTTTGGACTCTTGATCCAATTGGTTTTTTTTCCAGTGTTCACTGTTTTCGGAAGAGAATACAGGGTGATTCAGGGTTAAACGGCCAGACTGCTGGAGCGGAAACACCCCCAAACCCTCTCTTAAAAATTCGATTTCGAATTTTTTTTTAGATCATTTATGAATTCAGTGCTTAGAAATACAGGGGTGTACACATTTTCATTAGATTTGGTTCACAGCCGTCGCCAAAATTCAGGAAAAACGTTTATTTTCCGATATTTTGGGGGAGCCGTAGCTCCGACTGGGGGCAGTTTTGGAAACAAACTTTATAGAACCAAAAAGTCTTCTTTTGTCCCATAGAACACGCTCTTGCAGTCTGGCCATTTAACCCTGGATCACCCTCTAGAATAGTTTCGAAGATCACCCATCGGCGCCACGCCATGGTTTCCAAGACCACTTTGAAAAGAGATTCTTCGGCAAATCCTCGAAACCTCGTCAGCAATGACCCACCAGGGTCTTCATTATTCCCAGACACGAAGAGAGATGCTCCACTAAACACCTGGCGACAGGTGGAAACTTTTACCCTCGGAAATTGGCAATTAGTTCCTCATGAACAATGCAACTTTGCAAACTTTTGCAAGGGTAAAAAAAGAGTTGTTCCTTGCGGATAATGTCTCAAAAATCACGATGAGCGCATCTGCAAACTGTGAAATGCACTCCTACCTCCTAAACAGCTCAAGTTTGCCACAGGCTCACACAGAACCTGTGCGTACCTCCAGGAATCGCTGCGTTGCCTAAAAATCGGGCATTGAGTGAGCCTCGATCATTGACCTGTCAAACAAGGGCAAGATCATTGGGCTTTTGTTTCAATGCGCTCCCAAAAATCGTGTCCCTCAGCCCTCAGCTCGCTCTATTCTCAGAGTCGGAGGCCGAGAGTCCGTCACGTCGCGGCGCGGCTGTCTCACCGTGAGCGGGCCTCTTTTAAACGTTATCTTACGTGTCAAAACTACTAATCGCCCTTCTTACACGTCCGGAACAGTGCTGCCAGACGGTCTTCGCTAAACTTCACGGATGACGTGAATTTCGGTGGTTTTTAGATCGATTTTTGATCATGCCTTGTAAATAATACCCAGAAAATTTGGTCGTGGGCACTAGTATTATATCATATTAATTGGTCAATTTTACACCAATCAGAATAATCAGAGAGGATCGCGTCAGAATGAGACGGTACGGGAGATCATGGATGCCTAATAGACCATCATGCATGACATTACGACGAAACAATTTTGGTATGGTCATGTTCAGAGAATAGCAGGAAACAGGTTGCCGAAGAAGGTCCTTGATTCGGTTCCTCCTGACAGAAGGAGTAGAGAGCGCCCAATGAGAGGTTGGAGGGATGGGATTGAAGCAGAAATGTTAAGGTGCACAATGTCCGAAGGGTTGTAGTTCGACAGGAGGCAGTGGAGATTAGTTGAACTGCATTTTGCAATTGGGAACTACAATTTCTAGCCCATCCGTAAAACACTCATGCATGGAGAAACTGCATATACGTCGTTTCTAAACTGAGTCGAATATTATAGTTCCAAATTGCAAAATGCAGTGCAGTTTTTGTAGGGGGCCAGGGATTGCTATAAAGCAACTTATATGTATGGATGGTAATAAGCACCGCACTATCAGAAATTTAGTACTGGGCACAGGATTTCCTGGGGATCAAATCGTCATTTCCTATCAGTGGCGAGGCGCGAATGATCGATTACCGATATTTCCCTATATGAAGCTACGGTGAAGAATCGATCATTAAAGTGTTTGTTGTGAACTTCCTGTCTATCGATCCTTTTCCACCGGTTTAAATGGTAGAGCAATCGATAAATCGCAAAACAGGCCACGCTACTGTTTTCTACGCGGATGAACGTACGTTCGTAGGTAGAATTCGAGGGTTTTAAAATTGAGTGTGAGACAAACGTGCAATTCGATTTTGTTCCCCCCAAAAATATGACCGTTTCTGTCCGAAATTCTGTTCCTTTTGCGTGGAATCAGAACTAAATCAGTGAGATTTACAGCTAGGAACGCCCATAAGTTTCCGAGATAAATTGAAATCGTTGACGAAAAGTCATAATTGGACAAAAATTGTTAAAATCGTTGCACTCTTTTATCTAGAAAACGACGATGGAGAACCAGGGAATTCTTTGTCATTTTCCTCCAAATAGCAGTTAGAATCGAAAATTGGATTGCAAAATAACGAATCTCTCCACGTAAAAGAAAAAAACCACAACCTAACGAAGTCAAATCGGCCACTACGGTTCATACAAGTGACAAATGAATCATTATCGCAAAAATAATGGATCATTTCTCAACAAAATGGAATGTCTTCGCTACTAAATTTGAGAGTTACTTAAAATTTTAAGCCTGAAGGTGTTCTTCAAGAGAGTTGGTCAACTTTGCCGGTCATTTTTAACAAGCAAATCTCTTATCTTCCTAGAAATCTGCTTCCCGCTTGACGAACAGAGCCCATTATTTTGAGCCATTATTTTTATCCTTCGTGGCAAAAATGATTTATTTTGTAACAATGAGTGTATTGCGTTAAAATTATCTTCCAAGTTCTCTTCAGCCTCTATTACAGTGCAAAACTTTCGAGGAAGACAAATTAAGTAAATAAATGAAAATAAGGGAGAAAGAGAAACAGAAAAAACGCCTTTCTTTGTGAAAGTTCGCTAAAACACGAAAATTTACGTAATTAGCATAGTTCATTTTCACTTGATTCGACATGAACTTGCTCTTTTTTGGGTCCGCTTTAATTTTGCTTATTGCATTGACAATTCTTTCACGAATGGTTAAGGAAATACACTTTTTCAACTTCCAATTTCACTTCAATCTAGTGTCTAAATGACTTCGAAAAGCCTCTCTCATGCATTGAATCGAGTTCAGTAGAGAAACCAAAACGTTTGGCACACAAAGGGTCTGCGTGTGGTAAAATTTCTTTCTTGTTCCTCTCAAAGAGAAGTTATCGTTTCAAAATTAAGGCGTTGAATACAGAAAGGTATGTTTTGGTCGGGGTGTTTCAGAATCTCCACTGCTAATTTATGTTTTAGAAAAGAAACTTTTCGGTGAATTTTCTGAAAAATTTAGTTTTCAGTATTGTTAAACTGTAAAGAATATCCAGTATAAGTCACAACGAATTTCCTACATTTGCTTGAATCAC